AGATGCAGGGGGCTGTATATGCATTTCTGTGTGCATTAGAGGAATGAAGTCTCATAGACGGGATTTATCTTGCCACACTTGCCCAAAGGAATGGCTATAACTCTTCCATAAATTTCTTATTAATTTCACCTTCTGTGTGCCTTTTCTCTTAAGATTTAAAAGTTTAAAATTTTATTGAAGAAAAGGTGTGGCTAGGACAAACTTTTAAAATCTGAGTGGATATGCACACACAACCATATGAGCAAGAGCAATATAACCAGGGATAAACACATCCTAAATGAATTGTGTCCTTATTTTATCTAGCCCCTTCCCTGCCAATACTGTACTGTCTAGTACTCTCTCAGGCAATTCCATCAGTTCTGTCTCTTTCCTCTCTGCTTTTGCCTTAGGCTTGTCATTTTTCCCCCTTTTCCCACCTGCAACCAATCAGGAGATTGCCTTCTTCTTTGCCTCTGTTCCAAATGTCTTCCTAAATTCTTCCACTGACCTTCACTTTCGCCTTCTGCAATTTTTTTCTTCCACCTCTGCCAACATCCTGGTTTCTAAACACATTCAATTTTTTGGCTAGTGCACGAACCTTAACCACGTAATATCCCCAAAAGAATCTAAATACAAAAATAGAGGACAGTTCTGTTCATTCACATTTATGTGAGAGCATTATACTGCCTTTACATCTATATATGATTTGGATTTTCTGTTTTTAATTGGTTGTATTATTTTTATTGCTGTTTTATTGTAAGCTGCCTAGAGAGCCCTTTGACTATGGGATGGTATACAAAGGTAATAAATAAGGCATGCAAAGAATTTAGCGATTTGTGCTTTGTTGTTTAATATAGCACACAAAGGCTTTTCTAAAATGAGAGAGAGAGAAGATATACTATGAAGAAAAGGTAGAGCCACATTTTGCAAGACATGGTACAGAGCTGATTATGAAAAGAACATCCTCATGTCACGTTCACATCCTTTCCATCATAACAGATAGAAACATTTTTCACCTCCTGATGTCATCAAATTGTGTATTAACATTGTACCTGCCAATTGTAGCAGGTACAACTGAGAGAGACTGCAGAAATGGCTTACAGTGTCTGCAAGACACACTGTGGAAGGAAATACTCCCTTTGAGGGTGGGGGATTTGATGCTGGGATACCATTTGAGTGATGGTACTTTATCAAATGTTACATGCAGTTCTGCTCAAAAATATTTCCAAACTTGGCTGCTCTTCTTTCCTTTTTTTAGGGAGTCAGCCATGCCTTAGGTTTTATGCCCTTTGGTATAGTGAAGAAAGCAAAAATAATAGATACCAAACAGATTAGGTTTTGTGAATGAAGCCAGCAGTGTATTGTTTAGCATTTTGTGGCTGACCTCAACCAATATTTACATATGAGATAACTATGCTTACTTTAGTGAGACCTATAATTTCATTTAGCTTCTGCTGTGTTTTGCATTTGTCTTCATTAAACTAACCCTATTAAACCATTATTTAAAGATAAGAACTGAAACAAAGAAGAAGCTGGAAAATGATACTTTAAAGATTGCCAGAGGAAGAGTTATAAAGCTCTGAAAAATAATCAGATGGACCTCTAGAACAGGCCATATTCCCTTTCTCATACCATTCTGTTTGTAGTTGCTGTTTAGTGCCATCAAGCCACCTCCAGCCTATGGCAACCGCATAAATGAAGACCCTCCAAAATGTTCTATCCATGGCAGCCTCGTTCAGCTCTTCTAAGTTCAAGGCTGTGGCTTCCTTTATGGAGTCAATCCATCTTATATTTGGTCTTCCTTTTCCTCTTCTGCCTTCAGCGTTCCTAGCATGATTCTTCAGTGAGTCTTTTCTTCTCATGATGTGTCCGAAGTATAACGGCATCAATTTTGTCATTTTTGCTTCCAGAGAAAGCTCTGGCTTGATTTGATGTAGGACACACTTGTTCATCTTTCTGTTGGTCCAGGGTATTTGCAAAGCTCTCCTCCAGCGCCCTGTTTTGAAAGCATCTGTTTGCTTCTTGTCAGCTTTCTTTACTGTCCAGCTTTTACACCCATACATTGTGATTGGGAATACAAATAGTATGATGTGGCTGTTCCTCCTGAAGAGGGTGGATGCATTTTAGTCTGGTGTCTCTGCTTTGGCCATTCTGCCTTGGATGAGCCTGCTAAGAGACCAGCTCAGTGCAACAGTCTGGCCTTCTGGTGGCAGTGCTCAAAGCTTCTCTGACGCTCTCAAATCCCCTCCGCACTTTAATGTGTGCATTCCGGGAAAGGGGGCATTCTGTAGAAGGGGAAAATAAGCTTTCTGTATTCACATTTATTTGCTTAGCATAAGCATGTTTCATAAGCTTAAGAATATAAACTTTTCTGTGACAAAAGTGTTTGCTGTTGTTTGGGAAGCAGTGTTTGTTAGTAATTTTTGAGCATTAGCTTGACAATTGTACTTCTATTTTGCTATTGCTAAGCACATCCCTGCAAGAGATTGCTGAACTGTGTTGCTGACCTGCTACCTGTTACGTTACCTGAGCATGTGGCTGAGGAGAGTTTAAAAAAAATTGTTAGCAGCAAAGTCAGGAGTCCTTTCTCTAACTGTTCATGCCCATTTTATTTATCATTTCATGTCCATTTTCTTTATTAAGTTTTGTGCCTTTACAAGTGGAGTTAACTAGTTTTCATGGAGGTCATTGGAGCATGAGGCACCTACATGAAATACAGCACGTGATCTGACCTGGTCTGCGGGACCAATTTAAGTAGACAGGTAATGAATGTCACTATTGCTTCAGTGTTTTTTTAAATGTTTTACTCTAAATCAGAATTGTTTAGAAAGGAGTTCTTAACTTTGCTGATAGCTGTGGATGGGGACGGGGTACAGGGGAAAGCACTCTGGTGCCTGTTCCAGCTAAAATCACATCTTGGATTTCTCCATTGATTTATATGGGCAGCTCTCACTTCCCTCTGTGTAAACTTTTAAAAGTAGCTTCCTGCTGTGTACCGCAAAGTAACATATCCCAGCAATAAGATGTTGCTCTCTCTCCCTTTTTAAATCTATGACCTGATTGCACATAAGGTGCGTGGAGCCTGCCATGACTTAAGTTAAAAGAATGTGTGGCACCTACAAGTGCCCAACTTTCTATTCAAGACCTGACTGTGGCTTGTTGTTTCATCTGAACCCAGGCAGCATGGTTTGTTGGAGGGGAAAACACCCCCCTAGTAACCTGTGGTGTGTTATTAGGTTAGTGGTGGACTGTTTCCTTCCCTCCAATAAATAATGTGTCCTGGGTTCAGACAACATAGCAAAACACGGTAACCTCCTGCTGGAATGGCACCAAGACATGCACCGCAGCCCATTCGTGTTTAAATAAACCACAGTGGGCTACAGTGATCATGTGGACTGGTGCACTGTGTGTGTCTCTTCCTCCAGTCCTAGGAACTTCACTACAAGCAAATGACCCATTCTCCGTTTTTTCTCAAAATGTTAGCTTTCTGTGCCCATGGGGCTCACTCATTCTCAGTTGGACTGTTTTGGGTCTTCCTCCTTGGCTTTATTCTAAAGATATGTTGGATGTTAGGGTCCCCACTAGTCTGCTGGCAACTCCCACTTGTTTGTGGGTGCTGTCCCCCAAAGGTTCTAGATAAGACACTGAAGCCTTGATGTGTGCTGCTGCTGTGGCAGATCATTTGCTGAGGAATTATGTTTGGAAAACAAAAATACTCCCATCAAAAAATACATGTCATTAGCACAGAGAAGATCAGAAACTGTAGTAGACTCACATATGCTTGTGTCAGAGAACTGAGTCATTAAACATTTGGTTTTGCATATATTTTTAAAATAACAGTAAGGTTCCATTTCCTTCTGCCACACTTGCATATCCTTTTAACTCTCTGGTTTGGTTCTAATTTAGGCACTAACTTGAAAGTAATTGATTTGGTGACTAGCTGACCTGGTCATTGTTGGCCAACAATTCCCATCACCCTGAACCATTAGTATGCTGGCTGAGGCTGATTGACATTTTAGTTCAAACCATCTGGAGGGCACCAGTTTGGGAAAGGCTTGGGTACACACAGAAGTTGATGGCTAAAAGAAGAGAGAAGCTTGTTGATCAGTAAAGTCCTTTGTTTAAGAAGAAAGCCACCTCGAGTTTCTGTAAAGAAGCTCTGTTCAGTTATAACTACAGTGGTACCTTGGCTCATGAACTTAATCCGTTCCAGGACTCTGGTCGTGACCCAAAATGGTCATGAGCCAAGTTAAATTTCCCCATAAGGTTCAATGTAAATAAGGTTAATCCGTTCTGTAACTATTTTTTTTATCAGAAAAATGTTAAGCGAAGTGACAAAGATTGCGGCCATCTCCCCCCACCCCAAGCATGAGCGTGGCCATCTCCCCGCCCCCCCCCAGCACAACCATGATCGCACCTGTCATCCCTGCATGTGCCCATCATCCTGGCGCATGGGGGTGGGGAGAGACAGGCGCAAACGGGGCGCACTGCGGGGGGAGAGACGGGTGCAGTTGTGCTGGGGAGGTGGCCAAGATCGCAGTTGCGCTCCTGTAGGAAAGACGGGCACAATCTCAGCCATCTCCCCCCCGCCCCCAGCATGATCACAGCCATCTGCCCGCTTGGGGTTGCGGGAGGGTGGGGAGATGGCCACGATCATGGTCACCACCCAATGCGGAGTTCGCGACCTGAGTCGAAATTTTTATGAAATTTTTGTTCGCGACCCGATTTGGTCATGAACCAAAGTGTTTGTGAGCCGAGGTACCACTTTATTTAGATTATGACTAAAGCATTCTAGCAGTGGGTGGGGAAGAGTTTCCAAGCTGTTAGGAGAAATTGTTTGGATGTGCCTTGGAAATACTTGTTGCATGTTTACAGCATCATCAACTATGAAAGGACCTGAACTTTTGACTGATAGTGTGAGCAACAGTTGAGCTTGTGCATGTGGAATTTCAAAATGTTTTGCACCTTATTTCAGGGAATGACCATTCTGACGCCTAGGAAGCCATAGTTTCAACAAGAAGATGGAGGTGGTGAATACAGCCCAGTCTGATTTCAGTGACACCAAAGGATCTCTTAAAAAAGAACCATCTCTTCTTTTGGACAGCCTGGTGGAAAAGCCTGAGAAAGGAAGCTATGTTCCTAATCATCTTTTGGAATCCAGTAAGTAACGGACAAATGCAGTGTTTTTAGGCGAACAGAGATATTGATTATAGGCTTTTAAAGACCCCCAGTCTGGGTACTAATGAAGTTGATTGATTAAGCCTGTATTTATGGGAATGATCCCTACTGCAGTTCAGGCCATGTGGAAGCACAGTTCATCCATTTGGGTTGCACCTAACAGTCCTTGTCCACCAGTAGAACAGATTGGCTGGGAGAGAAAAGAAACATTCCAGATAATCTGTTCAGGTAATACTGGAAATTGCCTGAAGTATAGTCTTTCAATGCCGTGTGTTCACTTTGGCCTTTACTAAGAACAAAAACAAGGAATGCTATTAATTCTGTAACTGAATTGAAACAAAATAAAACACATTTTTGGAGTTGATGCCAGACATGGACACTAGCCAAGGAAGAAATGAAGCTTTAGCCTCAAAAGTGGTCCAAGGTTTTTTCTTGAAAGAACAGATATCATCAGTGTGGGGATATTGTCTTAGCAGTACTTGATTATGCTTTGTGCAGAGAAGAGGTTGGTTCAAACAGACCGTGGCACAAGGCCATTTAGAGGTAATCTTGTTTAAACAAATGGAACAAGTTTAGTTGGGCTCTTACCCTGCTAAACTGATCTAGAGTACCAATTATTGCCTAAGCCTTATTTCATGTACTTCTTTTAATTTCAGAGATTTATACAAAGCTTTTAAGAAATGATGTCATACAGGCTAAACCTGCCGTTATGCATTTTGGAGGGTATGAAATTAAAAAATATCACCAACAAATTCTGGTAGGTAATACAGCTGTTTTGACTAACAGGTAAAATGTGGTAACGGTATGTGTTGAGTGCCAGTCTACTTGCCCTCCATTTATGTTAAAGCTGAAGAGCTAGGCTGGCTTTGTGATGAAAAAGATGAGCATTGTAGATGCTCAGTAACAAAAGACATCAGCAAAGTGAGAATACTTAGGGAAATGCAGCTTGTTGATATGACGGTGATTCTACACAGAATACTTTTCCCATCCTCCAAACCAAAAAGAGCTTACTTCACCTTAAAGCACTTTCAGTTGCTTATTGGCAAATCACTTGGAATGTCTAACATTTCTTAATTTATCTGTCCTCTTAACCTGACCCTGTAAAATTGGGCTGTTGATGTTAGGTTCACCCACCCATCTCAGTTTGCTTCCCAGAATTTCCCCCTGAACTTGAAACTCTTTCATCAGAGTCTAAGTCATGGGTCCTCAAACTACGGCCTGGGGGCCAGATCCGTCCCGCCATGCCCATTTGGACCTGCTGTGCCCACGTGCATGCCCGCCACCACCCACCTTGCTCCATGCGCGGGGAGGCAGTGGTTTGCTCGCTCAGAGAAAACGATCTCCAAGCGAGCGAGCCTCAGAGGTTTTGGACTCCCCATGGCCGTGCCCCCCGCTGCTAGCCTGGCCGTGCGCGCGCTTGCCACTGCCTTGGCCCACGTGCATGCTCACAGGCGGCTTGGACTTCCTGGAAAATCTCCGAGTGAGCAAGCCGCCGCCTCGTCGCATGCCCGCCACCGCCATCTCACCAGCCCGCACCCGCGGACACCCCCACCTCACTGGCCCGCGCCCACCGCTGTCGCCTATCAACTGGCCCCCTGTTGACAAAGTTTGAGGACCCCTGGTCTAAGTCAACAGCCTTTGAAGGCTGTGTTATAGGAGGAGGGCCCCCAGTTCCTACAGTATCCACTGTCTTTTCATACTACCTTATTCTTAAAAGAAAGTATAATCTCAAATTATATTTATTTATTTATACATACATACATACATAGTTTGTTTTGTTCTACAGAAACTTGTAAACATTTCTGGAGATGTTCTAAACATTCATATTATTCCACCTGAGACAAAGCACTTCCAGATCAAATACAGCAAAATAGTAAGTGCCAGCAATAACTTGCACATGGTTCATTATTCGTTCTCCTCTTCTTTCTTGCTGTTTATTGTATAGCAGTACAAATAGTTCGGTAGCACTTTTGGGAAAATTGTTCTGTTCTCTTTTATAGCACCGACTTGTCCCTGGCTTGTCCTTTACAGTTAAAGTTGATTTCTGCCCTGATGAATGGCGGTACTATTATGACTGCATCCGAATTCATTGCCAGGTAAGATATCACAGGAGGTGTGTGCAGGCCCCCTCCCTACCTGTGAACATACTGTTATCGTTCGTGACATCTACAAAGAACTGGTATGATGAGTTTACATTACTAGCTGTTCTTTGCTGTTACATTAGTCTATGTTATTTATCTTTTTCTTTCATGTTATTTTTGTTCTTTGGCCATTAGGAGATAGGACATACAACTGAAGAGGGGCTAAGTGGGAATGAAAAAAGTTATAAAGTGAATCCAGGAAAAAATAGATGCTAGGAATGCCCAGCTGGGTAGCTAAAGGGCACAGCAGAACAATTAGTCAAGACTTCTTTTTTTAACTGGAGAAATAGCCATGTCCCCACTCATGGAAAAAAATGTATAAGAAAATGATTTATCAACACAGTATTCTCAGGCACAATCCCATGAGTTAGATTTCTACTGGAAACTGCTTAAGAAGGCGTGTCTTGGTGTAACCAACCATTCGTGCTGCAGGGGAATAAAAAGACGTTTTTCTTGGATAATGAACATTTTAGACAAACTTCCAGTTTGCACCTAATGAGAAGCCAGTGTGAGCTTGTCTTCATGATGAGGGTGGGTTATTGTGGTATATGACAAGCCCATTGGTAACCCCAAAAGATTCAACATCTTTTGAGTGGCTTGTCAGCCACACCCAAAACCTACACTTGCTGGGTTCCTATGTAATGAGAAGCTACAATGCACCTCTGCCATGTCCCAGATATTCAAAATGAAAGCCACTATCAGCAAAATTCACCCACATGGGTTTCATGTTACATGTAAACCAGGTCAGAGATTGTATATGTTTTCAAAGTTTTTTTCCATTGCATGAGGACTAGAAGCATACTTTTTTTGAAAGTCAAAAGTTGACCATTTATCAACATTCCTAAACCACCAAAGTTTAGGCTTTAAAAGTCTAAACTTGGCCATGCAGTTTTCTAAACTTGTTTCCAGATTCTCATTGAGAGCCAAACCTGTTCTCTCTATTTTTGCACAGCCCTAGGACAACAGGTAACTTCAGGGGATCTGGAAGGCCTCCTCTCTTTCCTAGTGCCAGTGCCAGAAAAATTGGCACTTTGCTGCCACATTTTAATGGCAGGCCCTTACAGACTCATGAAAAGGACAAATAGAGCTTGTTTCAAAACAGGTTTTCTTCTGGTGGTGATGCCTACACCGGAAGACAGGGGTTCCATGTGCAGCCCATGGGCCATGTGTTATTCACGTAAAGTATACACCTAGGCTATTCGGGCACTTCTATAGATAATAAATGATGATGGCCTAAGTCCTCACTGAGGCTTACATCTGGGTAAACCTGGTTTAGAATTTGGCTGCAAATCTTTTCCCAGCCCTGAAGTTTTTCTTTTACTAGGAGTAGAGATTATTCAGTGCTGCCTCATGCTGGTGCCCCTCCACCACTTCCACAGGGGCAACCCAGCAGATCCTCAATAATCAGAACCAGGCAAAGCACTATTCCAGAATGGCCCGAGCCAAGGAGCTTGCAGAAGAGAGCTCTGCCGACCTGTGCTGTTCCAGAAAGGAGCACTTCTACTTGTTTCTGGGGTTAATGTTGGAGGCATTAGTTTCTCCTTTGCACTTATCCCCCCCCCCAAAGCACAACAGAACCAGCAGGAGTGCAGTGCAGTGTTGAATACTTCTGCAGATACTTTTCACAAAAATCCTGTGGCTCACCAAACCTCCCCTCTGTAATGTAGAATCCAGTAAGTGGCCGCCTGAGTGCATATCAAGTAATAATTATCCTTTGTCTCTGTAATTTTCTTTATGTTTTCTCCCAGGGAGATGACACATTACTTGTTCCCTTGCATGCCTATCCTGTGATGAATACAGTAGAATTTCCTTCCTACATTAGTTTGTCTGATGTTCCTCTTGGACAGTGGTAAGCAGCTATCTCATTAGTTATTTTTTATTTTATAACAAGCATAGCTAAGATAATTCACATAAGGTAATGTTGGGTGGCAGATGAAGGATCAGAATACCTTGTCTTTGTCTAGTGTTAACTAAATCAGCAAATACAATTGCATCTGGTTTTATTCTAACAATATTTGCACATTTTTCTTTCAGTGGCCAGGGATTGTAAAATGTATTTGATTATTTTGTAAGCTTATCTGCAGCTGTTACACATTTTGTTTCCAAGGCTGATGAGTTTTCTGTGTGGCAGTGCAGCTTTTCAAGCAGCATTAGGTCTCTCTGATGGCCTCCAGTGTGTAAACATTTTCCATCAGCAGTACTTTGTGGGAGCACAACTGAGTTAGGCCATCAGTCAGCCTTGCTTGGCATTGCCTTAGACTGACTTGCAGCAGTTTTCCAGGATTTCAGACAGTTTTCCAAGATTTCAGACAGAAGTCTTTCCTGTGGTCCTCCCTGAAGATCCCAGGATCGAAACTGGGAATTTCTGCATGAAAATGGAATACTGGAAATAGTTTTTGTCAACGAGAAGCAAAAATGCCATATTCCCACTGGTTCCCTCCCTTTGTATTAATAGATGCAGTAGACATTAGAAGAAAATGGACATAAATGTTCAATAGACCATGGTAGAGTCATTCCATGATGATTACAGAGCTCTTTTGGTGAGGTAGAGCACAGATCTGAAATTTAGAGGAAGGCTGGACTGCTTATACTCTGTTTTCTTCCTTAGCTGTCTTAGAAATTATTGTAAATAAAGCAGTAGGACAGTTTTAAAACTGCAGTAAGCTCTATTGAACTCAGTGGGGCTTCCTTCTAAGTAGGTATGTACAGGATTATGCTGCAATTCTCTCTTGGAACACTAGTTATAAATAGTGGCAGTGATTATACTGGAACCCCTTTACTTTTTAATGTTGGGAATATTTTTACAAATTCTGCTGTTTCTTTTTTATCTCTTCTCCATCGCTGCTGACCCCCTCACACCCCATCCACCCCATGTCCTTTTTCCCAGGCAGGGTGAAATTGCTACCCAAATTGGAAATGTTAAAAACTCACCAAGCAATGACACTCGCCATTTCTTTTCTTCCAATCTTAAAATAAATTTCAAGGAAATAACTTCATATAAACTACATTCTTTGCTAATCAGTTAGACTAGATTTTAGACAGACAGTTTACAGAATGTAGAAATTGTTTGAATAAAATCTATTTTTTTAAACATGGTAGAGAATATGCAGTGTTTTTCTAAACTGATTTGTTTTGATTAGCAAGAGCCAGATGCAGAAAAATCACTGTCTGAACAATGAGGACAGCTTTTAGATCATGTACAGGGAAAGGAACCACAATCTTTTTGGGTAGGTGGACTCATTTGGCGTTTGGGGAGTATTGTAGTCAGTTTCACAAAAATCTCTTTTGTGGCAAGGCTTTCTTGTTCATAAAAAGGCTCCCATAGTGGGCCTGGCCAATCGCAGAACTTTTTTTTTCCAAGAAGGCAAACTGGTGAGGTTAAAGGAAAGGTAACTTCTTCAAAAACCTACGTACCAGCCAAAGAGGGAGTCTGAACTGCAGAACACAAAACCATCCATTGAATCCAAAAGAAGAAGATACTGAAAGACAGCAGTTCGCTTTGTGATGTGGAAGCTTAGCAGTTTACAAAACAAAAAAGAATGCATAAAACAAAAAGCAAGAAAGGCAGGGAGTCTGACCGGCACTGCATCGGAGATTCCAGCTACAGGGTATCAGACAAGGAAGTGGCAGCTGAGTACCCTGACTTGCTATGTATTAAGCATGGTAGCTTCTACTATATACGGAGCCGCATGGGCTTGGGCTGTTGTCCTAAACATGGGATGAAATATGACCTGAAACAAAGTAATTAGTGCATACATCTTGTCAGTAGCATGAATGTTACCTGGCAAGTAAGAATTAGGTTACAAGTTCAACAGTATCACAGGGCAAGTCTTCCTGGATTGGATCTCTTTAGGTCAAACATGGAGAATTCAAGGGTCTGGATGTTCCTCACTCTAGAAAACAGGATATAGATTCTCTCTAAGGGGTTATTTCTGCATGTACAGGGTTTGGAATGAAGTGCAGTAATCAAAATCTATCACCTGAGTGATTCTGACAGATTATTTACTGAATACAGGAAAATCTAAAACAACCAGCCTATGAGGTTGTTTCAGAATATGTAGTGCAAGTCTATGCAGGTCTACTCAGAAATAAGCCATGTTGAGTTCAATGGGATTTAGTCCTCCAGGTACCTGAGTAAAGGATTGCAGGCTTAGTTCTTCATTCAGGGAAGAACATAATGTAAATTGCTATTAATGTAAAATTAAGTTTTTACAGCTGAAAATACTTCCTAGGCTTTTCTTATTATTGTCTTCAAAATGTTACTTCAAGGATTAGGAAGTTCTTCGTCGTGGCTTCTGTGCATCACACATATGGGTGCTGCGCCTGTGCAGTGCCTTTGGCCGGAAGATTGCAAGCTAACGGTTTTTGGCGGGAAAGCTCCGCTCCCCCTCCCCCATAGCCTATAAAGAGCAGAGCGTCTGCCATTTTGTTCAGTCTTTGCAACCGCCGTTCACTGTGCCTCATGCCGCTTTCGCTCTTGCTCTGACCGTTGCTTGTCTAGCTTGTTCTTCTCGATTGTTCTCTCCCAGTTGTTATAGCCACGGTATTTCTTCTAGTTCTTGTAGTTCTCTATCATTCTACCTTCTCTTCGATCTTCTATCAAAATACACACACACACACACACACACACACATATACACACACTTACCCTCTGTACTATCTCCTTTTTTCTCTTTCTTGTGATGGCGCAGCAAACGGCTTTCCGCAAATGCGCGGAGTGCGGGTCTAAAATGTCTCCGACCTACCTGCATGACCTATGCCTCTGCTTGCGGGAGGGGCATAGGACTGATAAATGCTCTCACTGCCTGGCCTTCACTAAGCAGGCCAGGAAAAACTGAGAATCGCCTGCGGAGGCTCTTGTGGGACCAGGATCTCATGCAGTCCAACCCGCTCTTTGCTTCGAAGTCTGGCTCTGCTTCAGTGGCTCCACCCTCACGCCCTTCGGACGAAGGCACGTCTGCCACGGTGGTTCCACCTGCTTCCAAGAAAAAGCACAAGAAGCTCAAGCATGCTGAACCCGACAATGGCCTGGGGCTGCGTATCTCCAACTACGAGGCGACGTTGGCAAGGTATCAATACTTCATAATACAATGCCTCCACAACGTCACCTCGACCCTCCTGGACCAACCGGACGACCTGGCCAAGGTCTTCATCAAGGAGGCGATGCAGGTTGCTGTCCAGCAGTTGTCCACAGCCAGGCACCATGTGGACATGAACTCGAGGGCCTTGCTCGGTGCTGTTTCACTCCGGAGACATGCCTGGCTAAGAATTGTAACTTCCCGGAGGAGACTAAACGTCGGATAGAGGAAATGCTCTTCAACGGGTCCGGGCTTTTCCACTCGCGCACCGACCACAAGTTGAAGAAGCTACATGAATCCCGCATGACGGCACGCAGGATGAAGCTACAGACCCAGACCAGGCGTAAGTGGTCATGGACTCATCCATCTTATAGGCAGTTCTACCAGCCTAGACAGCAGCCCCAGCACTGGCTACAGCAGCGCCGCCGTCCTCAGCCTCAGCAATGCTATCAGCAGGGCCATCGTCGTTTCAACGATAGGAGACAGCATTGACGGGACTAGCGAACCATTCCTCTGATCCCTTCCATACCCACCCCCCTCTCATCTGGGGACCAGCTGCAAAGCCGACTCCCCATTTGGGAGTCCGTTACATCTGATCGGTGGGTATTGTCCATCATACAGCATGGCTATCGGATAGAATTTGACATTGTTCCTCCATCGAGTCCGATCCGGTTTACATCATGCTCGCCGGTACTGCTCGATGAAATACAACAACTTCTTCGTAAAGGAGCGATTCGTCAAGTAACCCCACCTGACGGACTCCACGGATTCTACTCCAGATATTTTATGGTCCGGAAGCAGGATGGTGGTCTATGTCCGATTTTGGACTTACGTAATCTGAATCGATTTATCGTGACAAAAATGTTTTGAATGACCACCCTTCAAAATATTTTGCTGCTGCTAAGGAAAGAGGATTGGTTCGCCTCATTGGACTTGAAGGACGCTTATTTCCACATTTCGATCCACCCGAGTTATAGGCGTTTCCTTCGTTTTGCTGTTGTACCCCATTTCTACGAATTTACAGTTTTACCTTTTGGACCGGCCACTACTCCGAGAGTGTTCACCAAATGTATGGCCCCTGTCTGCGCTTTCCTACGCCTGCAAGGCATACAAATTTACCCGTATCTTGATGATTGACTGCTAGTGTCCCTATCTAGGGAAGGACTCCTCGCATCCATCCGTACAACCTGTACCTTGTTGGATGATCTGGGCCTACGCATTAATACTGAGAAATCTTCTCCTGGTGCAGATGCTTACCTTCATTGGAGCCCACCTGGATTCGACGTTGGGAAAAGCCTTCCTTCGTCGGGACAGATAACAGACTCTTGCTCGCCATATCCATCGAATGCGACAAGACGGGATGGTCCCGGCAAAGTCCATCCAGAGGATCCTGGGACATATGGCTTCCTTGGTTGCTGTGGTGCCACACACCAGACTTCCACTCTGTCCATTACAACTCCTCTTCAACAAGATGTTCCACCCACAGAGAGACCCACCATCGAAATTGATTCGAATCCCATCCTCGGTGCTCCATTCTCTACTCTGGTGGTTGGTCCCAGTCAATCTGACTGTTGGGGTTCCCTTCAGGCCCTAGTGTCCTTCGATAACCCTCAGTACCGATGCATCTCTTCTGGGATGGGTAGCGATATGCTCCGGCCTATACACCCAAGGCACGTGGAATCGTCGAGAATCCACGAATCATATCAACTTCCTGGAGCTGCTGGCAGTATTCAAGGCCCTACGTTCTTTCAAGGATGTTCTCCAACATCGGGTTGTTCAGATAACTTCGGACAACATAGCCACCATCTTCTATCTGAACAAACAAGGTGGAACAAAGTCCCTGACTTTGGCCAGACTTTTAATGAAAATTTGGGACTGGTGCATTCCGAGAGACATTACGCTGATGGCAGTCCATCTGGCTGTTACGGACAATGTGCAAGCGGACCTCCTCAGCAGGCACATGTTCATCTCTCATGAATGGGAACTAGATCCTCAGACACGCGACCATCTCTTTCATTGCTGGGGGTTCCCCAACGTGGACTTGTTCGCCACCCAACAGAACAAGGTGTGCGATGCTTACTGTTCGAGAGCGGGAATCGGGGACAGATCGCTAGGGGATGCCTTCATGATTCCCTGGAACAACCTGAACTTTTATGCCTTCCTTCCAATCCCTCTTATGATGAGAGTGATAGTGAAGATAGTATACGATCGGGCCACGGGCATACTAATTACCCCTTGGTGGCCACGCCAAGCTTGGTTTGCGACACTGCTCAACATCTCTCATGGGGAATGCCTCCATCTACCACTGCTTCTGTACCTCATAACCCAACAGGGCAGTACGCTTCACCATCCAGATTTATTGTTATTGAACTTAACAGCGTGGCGAATCCGATAGCTACCATTGCGCCATCGGTATCAACGACAACTTCAAGTGGTTTGAATCCTGCTATCGAATCCAGTGGGTTTGGCGTTTCCTCTTCGTTTCTTCCTTCCGTACCATCGGATTCAAGGATTAATCCATCGAATCCGACAGTCTTTCATCCTGATATCCAACACATCCTTGATTCTGCTTTGAAGCTGTCCACACGGAAGTCCTATGTGGCTAAATGGAGATGAGTTTCTACCTTTGCTGAGTCTCATTCATTCTCTCCATTTACATCATCGATACATCAAATCCTTCAGTTCCTGTTAGAACTACACCATTCCAGATTGAAACCGTCTTCAGTTAAAGTGTATGTGGCAGCAATAGCCTACCATCGTGGCTTGGTTGACGGATCAACCATCTTCTCTCAACCTACTGTTAAGAGGTTTCTTAAAGGACTTCATAATCTTAATCCATCAATCAGGCCAGTAATGCCTACATGGAGTCTCTCTTTGTTCTGCAAGCACTTACAAGAGCTCCTTTCGAACCATTGGCAACAGTCGATTTACGTCTGGTTTCATGGAAGACAGCATTTCTTGTTGCGGTTACTTCAGCCCGACGGGCCAGTGAGCTCTACGCTCTCCGTATAGACCCTCCTTACCTGAATTTTCACAGAGAAAAGGTCATCTTGCGCTTCGATCCATCTTTTCTTCCTAAGGTGCCACATCTTTTCATATGGGACAGGATATTATCTTACCTGCCTTTTTTCTGTCACCGTCGACTCTGTTAGAAAGATCATTGCACTCACTTGACGTTCGGCACTGCTTAGCCTTCTACAGATCGAGGACTGAATCTATTCGACACTCAAATAGACTATTCGTTAAATATTGCACCAGTGATCAAGGCGCTCCAGTCACTCCGCAGAGACTTTCCAAGTGGATAGTCCATACTATCACTTTATCCTATCAACTGGCTAAGATTGAATTACTCACAACTCCTCGAAGCCATTCGACTAGGGCTGTTGCAGCCTCATCTGCCTTTGCATTGGGGGTTCCAATTGATGATGTATGCCGAGCTGCTACTTGGGTGAACCCTTGCACTTTCGCCAGACATTATCATCTAGATGTTTGGGCTTGGCAAGATTGCTCCTTTGGCAGAGCCGTTCTTTCATCTATTCTTCATTGAGGACACCTCCCCTCCTCCTTTTATGGTAAGCTTGTTAATCTACCCGTATGTGTGATGCACAGAGGCCATGACGAAGAAGAGCAGGTTGCTTACCTGTAACTGCTGTTCTTCGAGTGGCCATCTGTGCAGTCACACAACCCACCCACCAGCCCTGCTTGGTGTCGGTGAGTGGACATATTCGTTGGTACCGAAGGTTCCCCTTTTTTCATGGTACCGATCTTTTTCCTATCTAGTAGTGACAATTTTTTCCACATGGGGGCGTACGTTCGGTCATCAAAGACTGAACAAAATGGCGGACACCCCGCTCTTTATAGGCTATGGGGGAGGGGGAGGGGAGCTTTCCCGCCAAAAACTGTTAGCTTGCAATCTTCTGGCCAAAGGCACTGTGCAGGCGCAGCAACCCATATGTGTGAATGCACAGATGGCCACTTGAAGAACATCAGTTACAGGTAAGCAACCTACTTTTATGAATAAAAACAGGATCTCAAGCTTTAAAACAACAACAGAGGAGTAGGGAGAAGTCACCAGGGCACTTCTGCTTCTGCCCTTCCTGGAAACTGTTTTGCCGTGGTTTTGCTTTATCCTGGAGGCCCTGCATATGCCCTGAAACACACTGGCTTGGGTGCAGTCAAGCCAATGCCCAGAACAAAAATCTGTGATTATTGGATCTCTAGGGAACTACATGGCTATTGATAACATGTCACCAAACACATCACATAGTTCCCTAGAGATATTCATGGCTTTTTGTTAGGGATACTCATATAGGGGTTATGGTAGTCCACGTGTTCATAAATACAAGGTCTTTGTAAGCAGGTTGTTCATAACAGGGGCTACCTGTATTTAGAGTTCTGGCAGCACGTATAATTATACAAAAATACTTTTGGCAAAGTTTGGATGTAAATCACTAAAAATAAAAAAGGATTTAAGTCTAGTGAATATTTCATTATCTTGTAAGTTACCCTTCCAAGTTCAAACCAGTGCTGCTTTCTAAATCAAGACCTAACTTCCTGATACAGAGGCACAAATTGTGGTATAACTTTTATTGGAGTAATTCCTTTAATTATCTATACAGTCCCAATAAAGACCTGCAGATAAGAGATTACAACATCGTTCTTTGGGCTGGATCACTTTACAAGGATCTCAACAGCGGACTCGGTCTGCCTTGGGTTCAACAGACAGAATATAACCAGATGAGTTTATAATTCCATCCAGATAGCAAAACCAGGAAGCTTGCCAGGTTACGAAGATGTTGCATCCAGCAAACTCTGCTGCCCATTACTCTCATTTACTTATTAGAGAGTGCCTGCTAAGGATCACGGCTGGACTTTCAATCCTGGCAAGGAAGCCTACTTCACAAAAGTGTGTGTGCTAAACCTTGCCAGCTGCCTCTGTTCCACCTCCACTCATTGATGATGCATTTTGGACATACCCCACTTAGAAACATAGGAACAGAGCGAGTCAGAAGGGACCTCCCGGGCCATCTAGTCTGACCCCCGGCTCCAGCCAGCTCCACTCACGACATGCCCACCATGTGCATATCCAGCCTATCCTTGAACACCCTCACTGATGGGGCCTCAACGACCTCTCGTGGAAGCCCATTCTACATCCTCGGGGTCCTGACTGTCAGGAAGTGCTTCTACAAGGTCCTCCCCCTGTGACCCTTTTCCCTGATCACGCAGAGATCCCTGTCAGGATCAGATCTCCCAGGCCGTATCAGCATCCTAAATCTCTCTCTCCTTTCTAGCTTGTAAGCCGGTGGAAGCCCTAGTAGAACAGAATTCTCAGGGATCTGGCTTTCTGTGGCTGGGCCTGGCTTACAGCATCTCCCTGAGAATCAGTTTCACAATATATCATTCCCCACAGACTGGCTACATCTCTAACATGCTGCTGACGTACAAATGTGTATGAACATCCATTTAATTATTTTTCCCGTTTCACCTTTTGTAGCAAGGAATATGTGATCCCCCTGCAGTGCAGCTGTCCCATAGATTTTGAATTCCACATTGAGTATCTTCAGCCTCACAAAGCATTTACTGTTCATCCAACATCTGGTAAGATCTGATTGAGGAAACATTGTTTAACATTTTAAATAGTTGGGCTAGTAACGTAGTTGTATATTGAAACATCAAAGTTACAAGTGAAGAACAGAGCTCTTCCTCAGCAGTTTCAGCCCATCTGGACTGCCTCAGGCTGAAGCTACCATCTGCCTAGCTCTCTTCCACTTGCAGCCTGATCCTAAACTTGTTGAGGATATATCAGATATAAATACCACAGGGTTCAGTGGGACTGATCCAGCGGTATCTGTGCACTAACTCTTGAGCGTGTGTGAGCAGAAACCAACACCTGTGCAGCATCATTCGTGCTTGCTAATGTGATGGGTTTCTTGGGAATCTGTTGTGCTCACATGTGTGATTGATGTTCTGCAGGGGTAAGTTTCCAATAGCATTGTGTGATTTTGCCTGCACTTGGATGTTGTTGGATTGTTCCCAGCTGAACTGCCTTCAAGGAGAGCCTGGTTCAGATGGCTGCATCAGGAGGCTGGGTGTAGCCTGCAGGCCCTTCCATGCTTGCAAAGCAAGGCAGAAGTGACTGTTTCGTATCAAAAACTTCCAGTGCTGGGTGCAGTGTAAAAATACAAGTAGCTTAGAGGTTGAGTTTAGGCAATGGATAGAAATCACATGGATAAGTCTTCCAGAAGGAATAAGCCTCAGTTTTATGGGTTGACTTTTGTTTTTGTTTTTTTGGCTTTGTTGCCTTGAAGTGCTACAGACTCTTTAGCTATGAGAGCAATCCCAACAGAGGTTGTAGAGGGAACAAAGGGACAGATTTCCCAGGGCATGAAGGCAGGGTAACTTTTCTAGACTTTTTAATGCAGTGGACCTTATTTTCTCAGGATCTCCTTTTCCCCCCAATGAAAGTATTTGGAAGGGAATTAGCTATGGCAGTTCCAGGCTGATAGAACTGATGGACATTGGACCAGGCCTCTCTCTCAGGAATAGAGAATGCGTGGGTCCAGCCTATCCAAAGCCCTGCCCTACGCACCCCTTCCCCATCCCCAGAATGCCCTGTTTCTGAATATGGCACTGGCAACAACACTGGTGGTACATGTATGTCTGTAGAGCTTTCTCTGGACCCTCTGCAGTTAGAACGCCTTTCCGCAGGCTGAGGGGTAGCTCTTCCACGTCCTAATCCCCCGAGAGATCTGTCCAAGTCTGTCAGTGCTCTCTGCCCATGAGCAGTTGGGGTTTCAGTCTGCTGACCAAACTGGTTGAACTCATATCTCCTCCCAAGGCCTCCCAAACAATCCCTGATTGTTTTTGGCACTTTACTGCTTGGCATATTTCATTCAGTGTAAAAAGTGCCACTCTGACTTCAGGATAAATGCATGGATTAAATTTCATTATTTATTCATTCATTATAGGAATAATTCCAGCCAGTGGAAAAGCACAAGTGGTAGTTACTTATGCACCATTTGAATACGGAACGGCACAGATGCAAATCCAGTTGTGGATTTCACAGTTTGACTCAAAACCTTATGTATGTGCATTCACAGGAACTTCTACACCCAGCCAGAGTTTTACGTATGTTGTACTGATGCTTGCTTTGAATTATTTTTAAATCATTGTGTTTATTGAGAGACCTTGGCCAGATACGTCATATTGCAGGTTCCCCTTTGGTATATGCTAAAGATTGAGAAAAAAGCCAAGCCACTGTAAAAACATCAGGTTGGATTCTGAGTAAGTTAGTTGTGCCTTAGGTGCCATAGAAATTCATGTAACAAGTAAGTTGGGGCTAATGTACTCATGTGAACTTACCGCCCATAAAACATTTGGATCTTTTTAGTATAGAAAAATGGTGAATACAGGAAGGCATGGTGAGGGATGTAAACAATTGTGAGTGGTGCTTAAATAAAGTGAATAAGAAAAAGTCTTCCTATGCCATAACACTAGAAAGGGGCAAAGCAGGAGGTCATTTGGTGAACCTGAATGGTGTGAGATTCCCACGCACCACTTCAGAGCAGCAGTTACTGGCTTGCTTTTTGGGGAGGCAGGGAGGGTGTGGCACAAATGGGTGCAGTTTCATGTGTAATTTTTCTCAGCCTTTGCAGGTGCCCAGTTACGGCTGCTCGAAATGTGGGTCTTGCTCAGTCAGTGCCCTAGTTGGTTTCTGCTGGGAAAGTGCAGTAGGCCACAGCCATGGGCTGAATATACAGTATATCACAGAAGTGAGTACACCCCTCACATTTTGTAAATACTTTATTACCCCAAACATACCTCCAGGACGACCACTGCCTTGCTAAAGAAGCTGAGGGTAAAGGTGATGGCTGGCCAAGCATGTCTCCAGACCTAAACCCTATCCAGCATCTGCAGGGCATCCTGAAATGGAAGGTGGAGGAGTGCAAGGTCTCTAACATCCACCAGCTCCGTGATGTCGTCATGGAGGAGTGGAAGAGGGCTCCAGTGGCAACCTGTGAAGCTTTGGTGAACTCCATGCCCAAGAGGATTGAGGCAGTGCTGGAAAATAATGGTGGCCACACAAAATATTGACACTTTGGGCCCAATTTGGACAGTTTCACTTAGGGGTGTACTCACTTTTGTTGCCAGTGGTTTAGACATCAATGGCTGTGTGTTGAGTTATTTTGAGGGGACAGCAAATTTACACTGTTATACAAGCTGTATGGTCACTACTTTACATTGTAGCAAAGTGTCATTTCTTCAGGGTTGTCACATGAAAAGATATAATAAAATATTTACAAAACGTGAGGGGTGTACTCACTTCTGTAATATACTGTAGGTGGCTTTGCACAGACTTGATAGCTGTCTGTTGGCAAGCTGTCAGGTGAAAAGCAAAGTGGCAAAGGAATGCAAGTGGACGGCAAGTACATCAGCCCCTCCCCCTTGGTGTGATTGTCCAGTTTTTTAGTATTGCCCTGACTTTTGTAAGTGTCCTCCACCTTTTCCACATTTCCCCAGCCTCTGGGTGCTCCAGAAAGGGAAGATTATGCCACCTCCTTTGTGTAAGCACTTTATATTGCTAGTAGTCAAAAGAAAGGGTTCTTTCATTCAACCTACCTAGCAAATTAGGCCCTGATGCTGGGAACGACTGACAGCAAAAGGAGAAGGGGACGGCAGAGGATGAGGTGGCTGGATGGAGTCACTGGGGCAGTGGGGGAGGGTTTGGGTGGACTCTGAGCAATGGTGGAGGACAGGAGAGCCTGGAAGAATGTTGTCCATGGGGTTGTGGGCATGACTTTGCAACTAAACAACAACAAAGCAAATTAGAACAAATTTTTTGTGGTGGGGGAATGACAAGGAATTACACAGTCATGAAATTATCCGTTTGAGGGGGGCTCATTTGCCTAGCATCTCGCCACTTCCTGCAGTCCGCCTTGGGTTTATCATCCCAGGTTCCGATGACCTGTCAACCCATCATGAATTCAACAAGGCCTGGGTTGTTGGATGGTTTGTTGCCACAAATCAGCCTGCCCTGTGGGAAGAGGTGTCTATTTGAACTGCACAACAAGCCACCATGGCTGTTTACCCACAATTGGTTACTGGGTCATGCAAATCCAGTCTAGTTTACTAAAATGCAGCTACACTACATTGTGTACCTCCAACCTGGCACCTTCTGTGCCAGCTGGGAATTATGCCAACTTCAGTGCAACACATCTGGAGGGTTACAGCTTGGGGAAAGCTTTTGCCTTGGGTGTTGATTGCTGAAATGCAGAAATCATTTGGGATTGTGAAAACATATGTTGCTGTTAGTTCCTCTGCTACTTTCCTCATGTCTGTCAGTGCACTCTAAATAAGTTATTAATGTCTTTTGTTTAAAAAGTAAAGCCTAATGCAACTAGTATGCACTAAAACACCCAAATTATTTACTTAAGTAAATTTATTTCCTTACCAAGTGAGGCATTGAGAAGATAAATGGATCACAGAAGGTTTCTTAGCGTTCTAGCACTAACTGAGCACAGGAACTGTCTCTGTGTGTGACTTTGCTGTAGCCAAGCAGTTGTCATGAGCGGAGCTGGCTGGAGCCGGGGGTCAGACTAGATGGCCCAGGAGGCCTCTTCTGACTCGCTCTGTTTCTATGTTCTAAGTAAAACAATAAAATAAGTTACATGAAGTAACATTGCAGCAACTAAGCAAGGAAGGTTTGCCAACCTTGGCTTGAAAACAAATTTAAGTGATTCACAAGTCCTGTCTCAGGATTAGAGGAGAGTTTTATAGACTCCAGCTCAAACTAAAACCTGAGCCAAAGGCCAGTTCCTGGCTTCCCCTGCACCTGTCTCCACCACATTCCTTTACTCCCAAAAGCCACTTCCCCAAGACACCACCTTTCCCTTTGCTTTCCTTGCAGCCAGGAGTGGCAAAAGCTACAGCAGAAGGATATGGCGAAAGGCAGGAGATGTCCCTCTTCTCTATTGACTCATTTTGCTGACTGACTGAACCCTGGGGTTCTGGGGGCAATGGGAGAAGTACAGGAAGTCCCCTACATACAAACAAGTTCCATTCCAAGAGCATGCTCGTAAGTCCAATTTGTTCATAAGTCCAACAATACAGCATAGGTACCCAACTAGCACAATGGGCTATATAGTACTGGACTGTAATAGGTTTGTAACACCACTGAAGGACTTCTGTTGACATCCCTAGAGGGCTTTCAGAAGTTACACTTCCAGGTATGTGGCAGTGCAGAAGTGCACCCGTGTTGTTGTCTGATGGGTTCTTCTGCGTCTGATGTTACCATTAGGTTGGTGTGACCTGTGTTACACTTTGCTGGACTCATCTCTCTCAATTATTACAGTAAAGTACACAAAAGCACATTCGCATATTTGAAAGTTCGCAACTTGAAGGTTCATATGTAGGGGACTTCCTGTAATGCCCTCAAGGGATCTTGCCATTGCAGGAGCTCCCCCATCTCTTGAGGGAGATGATACTCAAAGTTTTAGTCCCAACATTTTGCCACCCACATCCCCAAGGAATTTTGTCCTTTCCAAACCTGTAGATGTACTTTTGCTTATGGATATTAAATGTATGTCTCTTTCAAAATCCAGAAGAGGAGACTTTGAGAAGCAAGAAGCAATTTTGCACAGAATACCGAAATCCGCTGGTAAAGCAGTGGTACGCCTGCCACAGAGGACACTATCACTAAAACATAAGTGGCTTGGCCCTCTTCAAAGAGGACAGGTGGGAATTTAAGAAAAAAAATACATTATTGCTTTTAAAAAGTTGTGTTTGTTAGTTGCTGTGAAATGTCACATTTTATTTTATAGGCCATTGAATATCAAAACTTGCGATTCCCAGCTGATTTGTCAACTTCTTATGCTGTAGCAACTGTTTTGATTCAGGAACCAGGCAAATTAAAGATTAAGCACTTAAGAGAAGGTAACAACTTTGAATATCAGATGTTGTGCAGTGTGTGATATGTATGGTTGGAATTTCTGGACATGTCTGTAATAGGTGAAAATGACAGCAGACTTGAGACTTAGAAGTTAAATAAATTTGTAAGTGCAAGCATTGCATATTGTTTACCTGTTTACTCCTGCATCCTCCTCTTGTATCTCTTGTGTTATTTTCTTGATTGTAACTCTCTTGGGGCATCTACCTGTTTTCTTCTTTGTATACATGGATGACATTATTTAATAATAATGTTGAGGGCAAGGCAGGATGGGGTAAGGAATTCAATTTCATTATCAAGGACAAGATATTGTATACATTTTGAAAAGGATAATATGAGGTTTCACAATGACATGCTCTTCAGTTCTGCTAAAAATTATGGTGTTGCTACTGCAGTTTTCCCACAGAAAAGTAATGGACTGTTACTAGCACAAGTGAGAAAGACATGGGTGGATTGACTCTATATTCTGATTCTCATAAAACATCATTACACTAGCAACTAATTATTAAAACATTAAATTTAAAAAAATTAAAGGAGTTCAAAAAAATTTATCTTTCCCCCTACCTCCTGAACTTCCCAGAAAGGCTGGCTAATGGCCCGAGGAAGAGTTTTGAGGTGTAGAGATTTGCTTCCACCATAAAGCACAGCTCTGTGCACTGACTGTAGCCTTCTGTATATTTTCGAATTCGATTCTTTGGTTTAGAGGTCACAGTGTCTCACTGCAATCTAAGTAGTATTGACTGATCCGTTCCATCTGGACTGAAGGATCCCACCCACCCCGCTTGCACTAGATCACCTTCTGCTTCCTCTAGCCTGGCAGTTCTGTGTGAGCCCGAAGGGCCGCCTCACACCACTTCTTCTTTCTGTTCATATGGATGCTGCTTGGCCACTCTCTGAGCCTTGGTCCCCTGGCCATCTCCATTGTGAGACTGCAGCAGGGTGGAAGGTACAGGAAGAAAAAAGAAGAGGCCCAAGGATGGATCCTCAGGCGTCTTGGTTGTGGGGAGAAGGATCAAGCTGCCATGAGCAGGTCTTGCCTACTCCTTTTTTCTCTCCAGTAGACCAAGTCTGCAGTCTCAAGGTTACCAAATGAAGATACTCAGAACACCCTTCACACTTACAACACCTCTGAAACAGTTGCATTGTATATAATTTCTGACATTCTATTTCACTACTTTGAACCTTAGGACTGGGGCCAAATCCAGCCTGTCTGGGCTCCCAAATGGATCTTCCAGGGTTCCCAGATTCTGTTGGCCTCACCCCCTTCCCCACAAAAAAGTGATCATTCAGTGGTTCCCCTGCTTTTGCAAAGATTTCCTCCCTTCTAAAAGGTGGAATACTTCTCCAAAGGCTCACTTGCTGACAGTAGGCGCTGTCAGCTAAAATAGGCTGGTATTTTGACTCCACCGCTTTTATATTCGGCTCTGCCTCTTTTGCCTTCAGCCCCAACAACACCTACAATGCCACTCTCGAGAGCTTTTGTGAAAAGGAGTTTAACCCTTGTTGAAAGAGACCCGACACCCCAGTCTGTAGGTTGATACTTGCTATCAATGCTAATTTTCAGGTGCTGAAATGTCTCTTCGGTATATTTTATCTGTTCTGTGCGTGCATGTGTGTGTGTGCGCACGCATGCCCGTATCCGTGTGTGTGTATGCAAGAACCCTGCAAACAGTAGACCTTGCTGTAACAGAAGTCTCATTCTCACAATGTCAGATGTTTCGTAATGAAAAGATATTTAAAGATGATCTGCCTTCTTTAAACCGATCTTTGTAACAATGTGACCCATGCATTTTCCACATGCTGAAATTGTCAAAATGCCAATGAATAATTCAGCCTTTATAACAGGCGGGTTGTGATAGAGGGGGGCCGTCCCCAAGCATCCTGTTCAATAGCTGTCGGTATTTGTGTCCTGCAGTCTTAGAAGGACAAGGTGATGGAGCAGTTAAAACAAGGCAGGTGAAGGAAGCCGTTTTTCTACTGAAAGTCAAGCAAGACATCCAGGAAGAACAAATCAACCAACTTAAATGGTGAGTGATACCTGCAGGTTAGCCAAGAGGAAATGAATGAACATAACTTCTTTGAACAAAGCAAATCACCTAGTGTATTAGTGAAATATGTTTTTGAAAAAAATGATTAAAGTCGTCATATTTGTGTCCCAGTTCATATCTGATTGTAGTTAGAACACAATAATTGTCGATTTTATGACTGCTACTGCCCTACCCCCTAAAGTTGTTTCAGATAGTACCCACTGTGACTCCTGGCTTCCAGTTGCTTATGCGCTGATTGAAAAGCAGTCATTTGACTCACTCAGTGTTTCAGGAGAAAGCAAACTTACGTTCTTAAGTATGGGTAGGGGCAGAATCCATGCATTAGCCTATGAGCACAGTCCAGCCAAAACGAAGCACTTTGAAATCGTGTGCATTTCACTGGGAGAAGGTTAAGTAAATGCTAAATTCGTCCGTTGAAATTAGTGGAAACTTCAAAATGGTCTTGCCTAATGTGAGTGATAGGCATATATAATATGGTAAGTGGCTCAAATAAACACAATATGTGTCCACTGCAGGCCTGACCATGATATACTAACTGGATTTGCAAGTCATGCTAAGTTACAGTGGGTTGTCATCATGGGTGATCACCACAGAGTGGCTTAGCATGACATCTGAACCCAGGGGTGTGTGAAAAATCCACTTCGGTGGTGGGAATCCATCAGATTCCTTCAGCTCAGCTCCCTGGACTCCAGCTTACTTTCTCATAGCCCTTGGTCCAATGTGGCACCAAGCATGCCAACCGTTCATGCGTGTGTCTGGCAGGAATTGAATTCATGCCAATACTGCACAAGTGGAATCCTTCTCCTGCACATGGGCTTTGTATTTGCTGCTCATGCTGCAGAGAAAGCTTGCCAGGTTGCACAAGAGGAGCTCCACTAGTGTTTCTGATCCGTCTTCAATTGCACCTAAGCTTGATTCACTTCCTAAGCAAGCATGAGAAAGAGGTCTGGGGAGCAGAACAGAGCTGGATTCTACAGGATCACTGCAACCCTATCCAAACCCAGAGCAGGTTTCCCATCATGGGTAGTTTTGCACAAACAAGCCGTTCTGGGAACCTTTGCCTTGGAATAGGGTCATTGTTCTCAGGGTAGCTTGTCATGATGATCAAACCCGGCCACATCTCGTCCCAAAGCAACTGCAGAGCTGCCTGGCAACAGCTGGGCAAAAAAACCATTTTGCTCTTCACAATTGCACCAATACCACCTCCTTCCTCCATTACCAGTGATGTCCACCCTGCACCAGTGCTGAAAATGTATTTTGGAAGGATCCTAACTTGATTAGTACATTTGCCTTTGTAGCTGCAACATTATACAAATGTATTTGTAATTTTTATTATGCAAATCCACCTGTCCACCATGTACAGTCTTTCTTTGTCAATTTGCTTTCCTTTTACTTGCCCCCTTTGGCAGGCTCCTAAAGCTGTAATACATAAGGAAATTAACAAAATGAGATTGCACATAGACAGGCTAAATTGTTCATCCTTGCCAAGAACAGTGGAAAAAATAGTACTTAAAAGGGATGAACACACTGGCACAATTCAGAAGCACCATGAAACATTTCTAAAAGTGAGTGAAGTGATTTCTTATGAAAGGCGCACCAAAGGAGTGGAGAACAATATCTCCCATTCGTCAATGTCATCCTCTTGCTATTCTGCCTTCAACTGACAGTTGCCAATGGCCTCCATCGATCGAATTCCAAGGATGGCTCCTGAATGGGGTGGTGCAGTTGGGGCAGGTGGGTATAAATACTGCTGGGTGGCCACCTCAGTTAATCCATCCAATCAGGGACAGGATATGAGTGGGGTTGCCACATAAGTGGCACTGGGATACATGCAGGGAGCATGCCGAGGGACCAAGGAGGAAAGCAGCCCAGCCACGGATTTCTCCGAGTTAATGTGGGCTGTTCTGTGAGCAGTTGATCCTCCTTATGGGCAAGTCTGCAGGCAGGTGGTCTTCGCAAGCCACAACACGTTTGTTTTGGATTGATAGTAACTATGCGATGTATTGCTCTTACGGAGAGACTTGCTTGAGCTGAACTTTTCAAGTGGAAATATTTTCTTGTTTCTGAATTCAAATGCAGGCAGGTTCATTTAGGCAAAGATCCCATTAGCCCAACTTTTCAAAAGCAGATTCTTGAAGACCGACAAAGAGAAGAAGAGCAGTACAAGGTTAGGATATATTTTGCTTTTAAAATGACTGTATGGGTTTGTATGCTGTGGGCAGTGAATAGAACCTACTTGGGTAAAAGGGCAGGCAAAACAGGAGGCAAAAAAGAGAGACGCACTGAAGGGGAAGGGACCTCCCTTCTGCTTCAAAGGCATGTCTTGAAACAAAACACACTCCATCCTTGCTGCCAAGAGCTTGAGCATCTGTATATTATCATGACTTTTGCACAAAATGTTCACATGGAATGTTGACGGGAAAATAGGAGAGATAAAGAAGATTAATGGAGGTGACCTCCTGTACAGCCTGCTTGGGCGTGTCTAGCCATTCCCTCCTTGTCAGGGAGCGTCTGACGGCATCGCTGCCATGGTGTTTCCTTTGGAATACTTTATTTTCTGCATCCCCATGGCACCTTCCCTGTCCCTTAGGCCTAAAGGTTTTGTTTAAGACTGAATGCTCTCTCGGATTCTGAACCTTTTGTATGCCTTTTTCTGACAAGGAGCTTCATCATCGTTGCAGCCCTCTCAATCTGAGACCGCCGTATCCCCATTTTGTGACAGACCTCATTTTGTTTTATCTATTTTAGTGTAAGGGGCTCTACCTTTGAAAAATTCCTGGTGAATAATAATAAGACTTTCAGGATACAAAAATATAAGAAATATTAATATTTCTACTTAGCATTAAATGTAGAACTTTGGTTAAGGTTCTGTTAATGTGCTGATTTGGATGTATATATATTTATGATGCAAATCCAGATTAAAAGAGGAGATCCCATTATGGAGAAGGAGTTTCATAGGAAGAATGTTCAGATCTCTGTCAAACGTGTCATCCGAGGTGTCAATGAGGTATGTCTTTGTGCTAGGGTCAAGAAGGTGGATAGGACTGCAGGGAAAAGAGGAGCTCTTTGTGTTCACATAGAGTCACAAAATGCCCACAACACTGGAATAGAGCAATCATGAGGGTATATATGAATATCATGGATTAAATAGAATTTCTTAACTGGTTGCCTGCTAGAATTATTTGATCTGTAATTGGTGAGGAAGAAATGGACCATAATCTCATGATACAGTTTTTATAACGGAATAAGGCTGCCCTCCTAAGGACACAATCCTATCAATGTTTAAACCAGAAGTAGTCCGGTGACTCCTAGCATTCCCCAGCCAGCTTGTAGGACCTTTTCCTATCTAAACATGAATAGTGCATTTATTTGGAAGCGCATTCTGCTGAAGTCACAGTCATACTGTTGGTGTAATTGCAGATACTATTAATCAGCGTAAATATGGTACTGCTTTTTCTTTTTTTGTTGCTAGTCGCAAAGTTGCATCCGACCCACCACGACCCCATGGACAGCAATCCTCCAGGCCTTCTTGTCCTCCACCATCCCCCAGAGTCCACTTAAGCTCACACTGACTGCTTCAGTGACTCCATCTAGCCACCTCATCCTCTGCCGTCCCCTTCTTTTGCCTTCAATTGTTCCCAGCAGTAACCTTCTCATTAGGTGGCCAGAGTATTTGAACTTCATCTTTAGACCTTCTAAAGAGCAGTCAGGGTTGATCTCCTCTAGGACTGACTGGTTTGATCGCCTTGCAGTCCGAGGGACTCGCAGGAGTCTCCTCCAGCACCACAATTCAAAGGCCTCAATAGAATGCTACAAATTCATTGTAAAAAAGGTTTTATTTGCAATTTCTAACTAAAACAGCTGAAACTTTTGTTCTGTGTGTGCCATGCAGTGCCCCAAATTCCAGCCCACGTTTGACCTCCTGCTTAACAACCCTTGGTGCCATAAGCATTGGACTCTGCGGCGGTTTCAGCAAGCTGCACGAAAGGTACTGAACCAAACCGCCACAGGTAATTTTACGCAGAGACACACGTACCAGCTACAGACATACTCATCTCTAAAAAAATTTTCTGGACTTGAAGATGTAATGGATAATATTTTATGAGAGATCAGAGTTTTTTTTTTTTTTTTACCCAGACGCCATTTCTTTTGTGGGTGTTCCTGCTTTCCTGTGCAGCTGCATACATGTGGGTGTACATACCCCCCCAAATTCCCCCGTCTGCTCCAAGAATCTTCCTGTCTGTGTTTGTTTAAAAAAAAAAAAGTATTTCCAGTTACGTCAAAGTAAATTTCATAAAATTCTGTGTGCTGCCAGGAAACTAAACTCAGGAGAATAAACGGCGTCCATCCTGTTAAACTGGAAAACAAATGAACATGCAGCTTGTCCCACAGGTGGCAATGAAGTGATTTATTAAATTAAAATTAGAAATCTTTATTAACTATTGGAAGAAAAAAACATACTGATATGTAACACTGATTTATTATGAACAACTGTATATTTAATTTGCTTTGATATTTGCCTATCTTTTCATTATTATGAATGAAAATCCTTGGTTCAAGAGACCAATAAAAACTGATGAAATATTTTCATTAAAAACTAAACTGAATTTAATTTAGATCATGTTCTTCCCTAATGCTGCAGCCCTATAACCACTCTCACCTGGAAGTGAGCCCTATTGAATTCAGTGGGATTTACTTCTAGCCTGATATTCATGGAATTCTGTTGTAAATGCACCTTATAGGGAGGGGAAAGTCATCTTTAACATGAAGAAAACTGTTTTTGTTTTGTATGCCCTAAATTCAATTGGAATAACCCAAGTTAACATACACTCAAAAAAGATGTATAAGTTCTAGAATGCATACCCATCAATTGTAGACTTGCCAAATATCTTTAGACCCAAGCCTTGGCCATAATGTTTGGCTAATATATCTTCACAGTACAGAAAAGAAGATACAAACATAAAATATCTCTAAATCAGCCTTAAAGTCCAGTAAATTATTAGGTCAGAATATTTCAGAATACATGATCTTCTGTATACTCCACATCAGTGTTGCACGCTCCACGTATACTTTATAGACTTTCCTCAGGTATACATCCAGCTATAACTAGACAACCATATTAAATTTATCATATATCAAATATAATGGTGGTCTAACCACTTACGCATAAACAAGTTAATAGGATTAAGTATACATAATTATGGAACAGCATCTTAAATCATTCTTCTAGGTCCTACTTCAGTGTCGACTAAAACGTGTGATAAATTGGCTGCATGAAGGATATAAAGTTGTTAAACTTAAAGAAGAGGAAGAGATGTTCATATCAGGTGAAGCCTCAAATCTACTCTGTTATGTTTAAACTGGGTTTTTATTTTAATTAGTAATTTTATGCAGTGAAAGATAATTACCACAACCCAGAAAAGACACCTTGATGCTTTTACTCCACAATGCTTTTTACATGAAAAGGCTTATTACTGACTATACTGGAGCCTAGAAAATCCCACCATGAGGACATGGCTTCAGTAATCTGGCCACACAAGGCTTTCGGTGTGTTGCACTTCCCTGTCCCCTACAGGCATTTCGAGTACTGTGATGATGCTAGATGGGGAAGTCGCACCATTCACTCAGTCCCATAACAATCAGTGGGTGTATCACTGAGTAATTCTGGAATAAGTGTGAGGGTCACTGTTGGTGGGCAGTTGATGGGGAGGGAATCTCCTGTCTTCTCCCAAGTTTGGCATCAAGATCAGGTGCTACAGATAGCAAGTGGTGGAAGGGCAAGATGCTCTACAGTTGGCCTCTAGTGGGAGACCTGTCAGCCCCCCTTTGCTGTGCTTTTCATCTTGGCCTTCATCCTCGTCTGTCTCCGTGCAACAGAATGCAGCAGCTTCAGAATGGGCAGCACAACAGCCATAGGCAATGAGGAAAAGAGAGTGCCTTTTGTCATGACTGCAAGTCGCGTCCTGCCTTTTGAATTCCCCACATACACTGCACCTCGGTGGGCTGATGAACTGGTAGGTACCACCAGGACACTCACTGTGACGAGTATGTCATTTAATGCAGTTTTCTGTCTTCCCTGGCATGGACAACTACCTCCTATGGGTGCTAAGCCAGTATTGGCAGGATTCTGCCATTCAGTTTATGAATATTGTCAGCAACAAACCAGGTTGAAGTAGATCCAGAAAATCCTTAGGCACCTTAAAGTAGAGCAGCCTTCTCCAACCTGACCCCCTCCAGATGTTTTGAACATCAGCTTCTATCAGGTCCATCAAGCAAGGCCAATGGTCGGGAAGGTGGGGAGTTGTAGTCTAAAACAACTGGAGGGCAACAGGTTGGGAAAGCCCGCGGCAGAGGGTCAAAAAGGACAGGTGGTGATCGACTGACCTTTTGTGTTGATTGTTATGAGCAAAAGTAGATATCCATTTACATGACTTTTCTTTTTCAGGCACCAGAAATTCTTGGCATAGTTCCTGTCAGGTCTGCAGGAATCAAGATCAAACAACCTCACCAGTTCTTTGAACTCAAGGTAAAATACTGTATCAGATTTTCCAGATAATTGTGGCGTGGTTAGGGTGTGAATATGGAATGCTTTCCTGTGTTGAGTGCTTCATTCACACAGTGTTGAGAAGGCACAAGAATGATGATAAACGAGATGCAAGTACTAGGAAGAGTAATAATGATTGTCATAAAGAGAACATAAGAGCCAGGCTAGATCACACTCGCATCCGCCTGGTTTAGCGTTCCAGTGGCCAACCAGCTTCTTAGAAATTCATTTCATTTGATCATTAGGAATTTCTACAGCATTATGCTTTTTCCCCCTTTTGCTACAAGGTTCCTCAGCATTATAGGCTTATGGGATATCAGCTGATCTGTGTACACCATGCAGCTACCAGTTACAAAGTTCCAAAGTACTCTCAAGTTCTGAGGACAGGCGCGGAGGTAACCAGCCAGTCCAACATCCTCTTTTTGGGGGGTTTGCTTCCCTTTTTTGTGGCATGATAAGTGTGACCAAAGCAGCCTTTCCAAATTACCTGTTGTTTCTGTCTTTTCCCAGGAAGAGCTGATCCCAGTCATCCCTGCTTCAGATGAAACGAAACAGCTTGCCTTGGAGGAACGAGAGGATGCACAGGACGTCTCCCTGTTAAACCTGAAAGCTCCTGAAGCTTTGCTTCACCCTCCAACTGAACATCCTCTTCAGATCTTTGTGAGTAAAAAAGGACAGATCGTGCGATGTGCCGCTTAAGAAAGGATGAAGAGCCTGGGTCTGTGTCATTAGGTTTCTCCCATGTTTCAAGGCCATGTTTTGTTTTCTTCCAGAATCCTAGTCCAGGATTGCATGTGTTCAAGTCACCACTACCCTATTCAGAAAGCAGCATCGAATATCACATTTGTCCTGTTCTAAAATATGCGCTTACCAGGAAATACCCACCCAAATCTAGCATACCAATTTCACAAAAGAAATTCCTCCATCACAGGGTAAGTGCTGCTGAAATTACCGGGGCGCTAACAGCTGAAAGCTCGTCTTTTCAAATCAATCAGAATTAGGCTAGCAGTGTTTCCTGATGAACCTGTGTTTGTGGTTGTTACAGGAGGTGATTCGTGGTGTAACTAACTGGAGAAAATTTCCCCCAGTCATCTATTCGACTTTGCCTAATGTACCGGCTCTGAATGGTGTAGCGGTACCATTCTGGTAAGAAAGAACCGTCATGTGTGTCAAAGTGCGAGTATAAATAGCACCTGACCCTTATTGGCAAAGTGGCACGCTTGGACCAGCCTTGGAAGATTTGGAAGTGTAGTAATAGCTGTCTGGAGATCTTTGCCCAGGCATTTTTGGTTGGTAACTTGCTGCTTCTCCTTCTGCTGGTGGGCATTAGTTACTTATTCGAAGCATTTTATTTTACCTGGCTGTTCAGTGGAAAGGACTCCCAGAGTGGCTTACAACTTTGTTGTGAACTGCCTAGAGAGCTTCAGTTTGAGGTGGTATAGAAAGGAAATCATAATAAGTGCCTTTAATAACAAGCAAGATAGTCCCTGCCTGTTGTTCAAGTGCACTGGTCTGAGCAGCTGAACAAGCTGTGTGGATAAATTTGGAAGGTGGTCATTTATTCTTGATGCATGTCATTCAGAATGAAGTGCGTGATTTAGGTATGTGCTTATGTGCAGTTTATATATGTAAGGATAATCCTACTTTAGTTCCCAGCTACATGAGGAAAGTGGAAGATGTCGTGGCTATTATCTGCTACGCATTGAGAGGGCAACGGGCGGCTGCTGGCGATGAATTCTGACACTGCACCCGATGGAGCAAAGTGCCTCCCCACCAGCAGGAGTTGCTCAGCCTTAAAAATCAACTGTGTATTATACAGTTTGCTTGTTAGGTACAGGTTGAGAGTTATTACAAATGGAAACTTTATATTTCTTTTTGGAACTTGGCAATATATATAGGACACATTGAAGCATTAGGTGTTTCTTAGTTTGCTTTTGAAAATAATTGGTATAAATATCAGAGTCAGAAAAACAATAGAACCAGTGCCAATATCATGAAGTTGTAAAGGGTGGCGGGAGGCCTTTCTAACACCAGGAGCACATTTTAAAAGCCTTTATTTGCTCCCCACCACAGAGTCTCTCTTTATTTTGCCAAGGATGCTGCCTTCTTTGTGTCCTCTTCCTTCTATCCTTTATTTGAAATTTCCTCCATCCTCCTCCGCTGACCAACCAACCAACCACTGCACTGCTCCTCTTTTCCTTGCACTCTTTCTCCCCTGCTGCTTCGCTCCTTTTCCTCTGCTTCTCCTTTTTGCCCTCCTCATGCCCACCGCTGCTGCAGCCACCACGATCCGCACCCCCTTTCTTCTTACTGCCCTGGTTGCTTCAGCCCAGCTCTGTGCTCAGTTCAGCCGTTGCACAGGAGGCAGTCAGCAGAAAGAGCATTGGGGCTGGCAGGCGCTCTTTGGGATCCTGGTGTGCAGCATTGCTTTTGCTTGTGTCACGCTGTTGACCCGATGTCGAGCGTGCTTTTCAGGTCTCTTCTTAATGCCTCGGTGTGCTTATGTTTCCACAGTACAGATCCCTATAATGTAGACATGATTCCAAAAATTACTCCTCCAATTCTCAGTGGCTTACCAGAGCAAGACAAGGAAAATGTAATTGATGAGTAAGTTTCTTCCCTGCTGTTTGTTCAAAAGAAAGTTACTGTGTTTTTGTGTTTTAAGCACTGAGACTTGATAGCAAAGTCTTGCTATGTGTTTGTGGATGTGCAAAGGATTTGAAACTTGTAAGATGGCTCTTGCATGTACAGTCTTTGCAATTCAGTAGGCTGGAAATAAAAAAAATAGTCATTTGTGTGTCCTCAACCAACCTGAAATATACAATTATTGTCAAATTTCAGAGTGATTGGAGGGGAGACAGCCGTTTTACTTTCACCAGAGATGATAAGGGCTGAATTTCCCCAGATCGATCTTTCAGCCGACAACAGTAAATCACCCAAGGAGGGAAGGTAGGTCTCTTTCCGTCAGAATGTTGGGCAGCCAGTCCAGACGCCTCTGCTCTGATTAAGCAAGCGATCCAAGGAATGCTCTGCCCCAACTCACAATCCAACCCCCTCCCCAACTCACTTGGTGCAGGAACCTCAGAACTGTGGCAAACCCAGGAGATGCCTCTCCAGCCCCTGCTTGAAGTCTATTTTACAGTTACATTTTTGGAATCTTCTGCCATCCCTGTATTATTTTTGGCAATTCCAATAAAAAAGATACAGGTGAAAGATAAAGATCCACCCTACAGTGGATTCAGATGTTAGGGTTTTATGGGATGGGCTATTAGCAGGGAAGGCAAGCTTTCAAGTTGCACAGAATTACTCTCCTTTCAAAAGCTTGCTGCTCTGTGTTCAGTCCAAATTTGGTTGGATTTCTACAGGGAGCTTTGTAATGTCAACCAACACTTGTTCAGCAATATGGTCCCTGATTAAACTGACGTGTTCTTAAGCCCAAGCTCTCAAAGCAGCAAAGGTGGTGCTGAGACTTGGCCTTTGAAGTGTATTCCTCTAACTAGTACTGTTCATCTGAGTTAGTGCATGAAGATGTAGCCTGCAATTCTTTGGCAAAGTAAAGACTGAAATAGACATACATTAAATGCATTAATGCATCTGATGTGTATCTATTTTTTGTTTTTTAAAAAGTCTGTTAAGGGTGTAAGGATTGTGGCCACAGGGAGGGGGGTGTTTAGCTCTTTTCTCCTCATGCTGTAGCCCTGCCCAAAGTCCATCTCCACCTTGCAAGCTGGTATTCAACCCCGAGGGGAAAACTGGCATCAGCGACCGTGGCTGTCTCCCTCCCAGGGGAAAAAGCAGCTGCTGTGAGGTGGAAGGCATGATTTCCCTCAGGACGCAGCATGTATCACATTTATATCTTGCACCTTTCCTTCCCAGCTGCTATTTTTAAAATCAACCAGACAAGTTTAACATACCTTCTAGTTCAGCCCCATTACAGTGGAATGGAATTTGCTTCTGTAGGATTAAACTGGTTGTTGTTGTTGTTGCTAGTCGCATCCGACCCATCGCGACCCCATGGACAACATTCCTCCAGGCCTTCCTGTCCTCCACTATCCCCCAGAGTCCACTTAAGCTCACAATTAAACTGTTAGTATCCTGTTAATATTTTCTCTTTTCAGTGAAATAAATGTAGAGGTTAAAGCTGCTTCCTGCATATCCCTGAATGCTTCTGCACCTGTTTCCAGGTAAGTGAATAATGTGAACTTTAAGGGCATTTGCTAGCAGAGCTAGTAGAAATTGCGATTCTTTCTATTGGTAGATGCCCCAAAACCATCACTCTGTAGGCTCAGGATAGGAAAGGAACAAAAACTTGTTCTAAACATGCTTGGATAGACAATTGATAGCCAACAGGGGGGCAGGATACGGACAGCATATTCAGCAAATATGACCGTGACCGCATAGGCCCTAGCTTGTGCTTTCAGAGTACAAGGAAATGGTAAGGGGTAGCTTCTGCAGTAGGTCACACAATTTTGTTTCTTTGAGAAAACACCATTCATAGATACCTAGAAATTTGATGGGCAAAATGTTCATAGTACCCTATAAATGTTCATAGTTGACTTTCACTACATATCGTGTGTGTACCAAAGTACTGGAAATGCACCATTCCGTACTTTAATTTCTAGATAATAGTTTCAGACGCACAGAGGAAATGGGCAATAATATAGGGTAGACTTCTTGGTATGTTGGACCTAGTATAGAACTTTGAAATAGGTCATTCCTCCTCCCATTTATTCTAATATGCTCCACCTAATCTGGTTACTCCTGGACAGCATTGTCTCCTGTTGGTGTAAAAGCTTCCTGATTCACTTTGTTTCAAATCCTGAATTTTTTGTCTGTCTTTTTGCAGAGATGTAAGAGACATTGTGGACTGGTGTTTCCAAACTCAGAACAACATATTTGGACAAAGGGTTGAAGAAGCTATGGAGAAACTGAGAGAAAAGGCAGTACAGAAACAGTTAATCCTAGACTAAATAAATGTGATCCCTTTGGAACATCACCTCACTTTTGCTTGAATGTTTTCATGAATCAGACAAGCTTCCTACATTTTATGGAGCATAGTTTCCTGTTCAGAAAGAAGAGATCTACTTCTGGGTCAGGCTACAAGTTCCCAGAATTTCCTTCATGGTCTCTTAACATTGCTAATTGTATATTGTATATGTTGGAAAGCAATGTGTTTGCATTACCCCTCAATACCCATGCATTTGATGTTTCAGAATATCGGTCATGGATCAGCAAACTTCTGGGGCTAACCTCACCCACTAGCATAGGAAAGGGCAGAGTGAAAAAAATTGAAGCAAGCAATAAATATGATTGGTTCTTTCAGGGAGAAATCCTCTGTGTGGCATTTTTAACTACCATTATTGATATGTATATAACTCTCCATACACCAGTTTAACCCCTAGCCCAACCACCTATGTACACAAATACATACATTATTTTTATAAGCCTGTATGTATGATGCTATATTTCTTGTCTGAGCACGGTTATTGCTTTCAATACAGTGTGAAGAAACTTGTATGCTCTGATTGTGCCCCTGGCTTTCTGGCATATTTTGGCATTGTGATAACTATAAACTAGGTCACTGTCCTTCAGACTGTACTGGAGACTATTTGGCTCTCTGAGCTGATGGAGTCCAAGCTTGAACCACTTCCCTTGCTGTCTTTGCCAGCTGCAGACACAGGCACAATAAACAGCCATACTGAGGCAGGGATTCCAAAATGGAGCCAGTTGATCACATGACTTTGGTGCAGTCACAGGCCAATTCAGAGACAGTCTGGTTATGTCTAGGAGCTGACTCTGTAGCAGCTGGTACAACTATGAAGTCTGATTTGAAACAAGAACAAAGCCTAAGGAAATGTCATATAAACAAAGGTCTGCAAATAAGTTTACTAGTATTAAATGGAACGAACAAATCTGTTTCATTTCCCCCTTCTTTTTAATGGAATTATTTTTCTAAGTAAATTTTCCCCCTTGTATCTTATGTCCTAGTTCAGATCTGTCCCATCTAACAAAGGGTTTTATTACTGAGCTTAATATGCATATATATTAAAATTCCAAATCATGTTTTCACTGACATCCACAATTGCCTATATGGTCTTTATTAAATTAAAAGTGTCTGTGAAAAATCAGAGAAACAGAAATGATTGTGGATACCCATGGAAAAGAACCATGTATATTTGATATCAATATTAGTCTTTATTTAGGCCCCAATACATTGCCAGCTTCTTAAATTATTTAGGTTTATGGGATTGAGCAGGAGACAGAAAAGACATCAACTCATATTATGAAAATAGATGTGAATTCAGAGACAAATAGTATTTAATTTCAAGAACAAAAGATACCAATTAACATACAAGAGAAAATGCAATCAAGTTGTACAATACAGTAATCAGATTTAGGTTTACACATGCATGGTATTAGTTTCCGCTACATTTGGTGGCCACGCTTGAATGTGAGATCAAATTCCATTGAAAATCATTCTAACATTCATGGTGGTGTGTCTGTGATTTCCTATTTGAATGTGCAAGTCATCACCCAATCTTGCATCACACATATGGGAGTGGGGGGGGGGTTGCTGTACCTGTGCGGTGCCTCCCTCGGGAAGACTTCTCTAGCTTAGCCTAGAACTTTCTGTGGAGCCCTGCCCCCTTCCCTCCCTGTATATAAGGGCAAGCGCCCACCATTTTGACAGTTGACTTTTGAGCACTGTTTGCCAGTGCATCGGGATCGCTAGCGTTCATTGACTCTTTTTGCCTACTGCAATATTTTGAACTTGTCCTACTCTGAAAGTCATCACCTGAACTTGCACTTATGTGAACCACCCTCCAGATCACAATACCAACTGGCATTAGGCAAGCCCGATAGTTGTGATCTTGAGATGTCTTCTCAAGATCTCTGTTTTTCCACAGGGTTTCTCTGAAATGTCACCCAGCCATCTGTGGTTTGTGACACACAGCAGAGAATGCAGTTCTACTACCAATTAGCATTGCTATTACTGTTCTGTTTGATGTTAATAACTATATGTAATGTATTAGCTTGCAAGCAGCATTGATTTCAACCTTTTCTGAAAGATAAGAGAGACAAAGTGATGGCAGGAGCAATCCAGTCCTATGGCCTCTAGACAGATAAAATGGAGGTCCTGTAAGCCACCTCGGGTTCCTTCCTTGCACCGTTTTGGTGTCATCATATGCACGTTTAAACCAAATGCTGGGAGTGGGACGACCTTTTTTTCAGTTTAAACATACAGTACATCACACCCTAAAGGAACTTTGGCCAACTTTCGGTCTGCTAACTGCATTACCCAAGAGTGATCACACCTGCTCTTGGCAAATTTATAAATTGCTGTCAAGTGCAGTGCATTATGTAGTTAATGAGAAATCAAGTTTGTGGCACCCTAAGACTAAACAGATGACGAAATTGGAGCTAATCTGCAAAAGCTTATTCCATGATAAGCGCTGGTCTTCAAGGTCATACTTTTCCCTGCTGTAGCGACAACCCACTTGGATTCTTATAATGTGTAGCACATGAGCTGCCTTGAAGCGTCAGCTACTGCAGGGAGCTTGGGAGCTTCAGCTACTGCAAAATTCCACAGCTGGGGACCTGATTGGGACGAACTGTGCAGAACACAACTGGCTTCTGATCTGCTCCTGTGCATGCTCTGATTGTTGACCTCTAAAATCCATGAAACCTCTACACTGTGTGACAAAAGGACAGCTTGTTCCTGTATGAACCGGCCACATGCTGATCTCTCTCTCCAAAGCCTTTGTGGGCCTCCCTGCAATCAGAGGAACAGTGGGCTTGTTCCATGCCAATACCAGATTTTTGTAATACCCCTTTTGGATGCTCTCCTGGTTGGTTATACTTTTGTGCATAAGGTGAAGACCATTTGTTGTTAAAAATGTGTGTGTGGCTTCCCACTGCCAAAAGCAGTCTCAAAGTGACTTAGATCCGTAAATCTATAATTACAGATATAATTTGTATAACAGGAAAAGATATTCTTACATTCTTTCTATAACCTAAAGAATAGCAAAGTCCACATAAATTGCAACAGCCCAATAACTCAAAAATAAAAACCATTAAAACAACCCAAAAGCAATGCAATGGAATACAACAGTGTTTATCCACAATACACAAATCTTCTACCCTCTCCCATCAAACAGGTTTGCATGAACCCCACAGAAGCAGCTACAGCAACTGGGCTCAAGTCAAAAAGACTGGGAAAATGAGGGCATCTTGGCTTGGTGCTGAAAGGATGGCAATATCACATTCCATAAACATGAGGCACAGAAAAGGTCCAGCCCTGAACTGCTGACCCCACCAAGCTTCTCCCAGAGCAGGGACACAGAAGGACCTCCTTGTCTGTCTGTCTGTCTGTCTATTTGGGTATTTTTACCCCGTCCAATACATTGTAGGTCTCTGAAACCAAATCCAGTTTCAGGGGCTGGGCAGGTTCATATGGGTGGGGATGGTCCTTGAGTTACTGGTGTTGGCTTTTTAACAAGTTGTAAAGCTACACAGCTCTGTTTCTTTAATTTGAGCTTTATTATACTGCAGTATTTGATCATTAACTCTTCATTGTTGTAGCTGTACATTGCTCTCTATGCAAAAGGCAGCTGGTCTCTTCCTGAACAGTTCTGTGGAAACCAGATAATTTGTCTTCTTTCAAAATCCATTCCATTTTGGACAACCAGGACATTCCACCAAATTATAAAATCATACATGTTTGCATGTTTCTAAACACTTCCATGTCCAACAAAGGATGAAGCATGTCTGTGGCTGTAGGTGAAGGAAGTCTAACATTTTAAAAATATGTTAGAACGTGTAGAGGGAATACCATGCAATGTGGATTATTTATTTACTTACATATATTTATAGGTCGCCTGTAATTGCTGAGGCCTTCCTAGGCAGCTTACAAAGTACAACATACCAACAGAATAAAAACACATTAAAAACCAAATAAACTATAATAAATTAAACATCTATAAGGAACAATTTAAAAAGTCCACAGCATATGGCTAAACTTTTAAAAAATCCTAAAAAGATACGTTTTTGCATTTGTGCTCTAGAATGTCTGCAAACATGAAAGAATACTAAGATTCATGTTAGAAGTCAGCAATCTACTGCTTATCAGTTTCAGTAGCCACAGAAATTGATAAGCAGTAGATTCAGATCAGACAAAAGGAAGCACTTCTCACAATGCATAGTTAACTTAAGGGATTTGCCGCAACAAGATGTGCCAATGGCTTAGGTGACTTTAAAAATAAATGAGACAATTTTGTGGATGATATCGCTATCTGTAGTTACTAGTCATGATGGTGATATGCAACCTCTCAGGTCTGGAAGGACTTGCTAAGAAACCAGCACTGGGAGAGACTGATGGTTTGTTGGACCTCCTGGACACAGCTAGTTGGCCAATGAGAGAACAGGATGCTGCACTTGATAGACCTTTGGACTGAGGCAGCAGGGCTCCTCCTCTTCTTAAAACAGTGGCAGTATTTTGACACAAGCCAGGATGGTGCAGTGGTTGGAATATTCGTTCTAGTCCCCACTCAGCCATGACGCTCACACAGTGACTCTGGGCCAATCCCTGGCTCTCACCCTCACTCACTTCACATAGTTGTTAAAGCCAAAAAAAGTGGGATATAAATGCAACCAATAAATGAAGCATGCATTTCTATCAAGGACCGCTTTCACAGATGCTAGCAGACCAGTGAAAATCCACTGAGGAGAAAGAGGATGCATCTGATATGCAGGGAAGCGAAGTAATTAAGGAGGCTGGACAGCTGACATACTGGGGGAGTGGGAGCTGGAGCCCCCACTCTGGGAATTGCCTGTTGCTTTGTTCACAGCCCCTCTTGCTACTACCTGAGGAAGGCATAATCCCAGTTTTTCAGTCTCAGTTACTTTTGCACTGTCATCTTCCTACACATTTACAAATTTAGGAAACTGTGCATAGAGTTTCAGCCTTTAA